TAAAAGGAGAAGGAGGAGGAGGAGGAGGAGGAGGAGGTAGGAACAGATGAAGATATTTCAATGGCTTTTTTATTTCCTGGCAGCATTGGGGTTTGAACTTGGGGCCTTGTACTTTCTAGACAGATGCTCTACTGCTTGAGTCATGTCCCAAGCCCTTTCTTGATTTTTTTATTAAAAAATTGAATTTTTATTATGAAGGTGATGTACAGTGGGGTTACAGTTACCTAAGTCAGATAAAAGTACATTTACATTTCTTCTTTGGACAAAGTTGCCCCTTCAGTTTTTCCCTCCCATGCCTGCCCTTTCATTATTTTTTAAATAAGGTCTTGTTCCTGTTCCCCTGTAGCCCCCTCCCCCCCCCCCCCCAGGAGCTGGCCAGGACTGCAAACCTACTGGTTACAATCCTCACTATAGCTGGGATGACAGATTTGGACACAAGGAACACCACGGTGCCCAGCTGTTGGATGAAATGGTGTCTCGTAAACTTTTTGTAGGGGCTTGCCGAAATCAGTATCTGCAAGCATCTGGCTTAAATGACCTATTTTATTTAACTCCATGTATCTAAAACATTATTGTATCTGATATATATACATATATAAATATATATACATATAAATATATATACATGTATAAATATATGTATATATACAAATGGAATTCCATTTTGTAGTGCTGATGATTGAATCCAGAACCTCAAACATCCTGAGCAAGCACTTTATCACTGAGCCACATTCCAGGCTCTTCGTTCCTTGAGACAGTGTTATCTATGTAGCTCAGGCTTTCTTTTAACTCACTAGGAAACCCAGAGTAGCCTTGAACTTCCAGTATTCCTGCCCTGCCTCCTGGTGCTGAAATTCCTGGCTCAAAAAAATATAGTAATAATAATATGTTTTTGTGCCAATATTGAGGCTTGAACACGGGGCCTGTGTTCTCACTTGACTTTTTTGCTCAAGGTTGGTGCTGTACACTTGAGGCACAGCTCAAGCTTCTAGCTTTGTGCTGGTTAATTGGGAATTAAGCGTCTCATGGTGTTTTCTGCCAGGGCTGGCTTCAAACCGCGATCCTCAGATCTGTTTCCTGAATAGCTTAGGATTACAAAAGCAAGCCACCAGAGCCAGCCTCAAATAACTCTTAATGAATTATTTTACATTCTTTTTTGATTCCTAGGTCTTCTAAACCATTCTGAGTCTCCATTTGGACTGGCCATTTCAAATGCCTAGGTGTTATTTGTAGTAGGTTTTTTACTGGGCAATATACGTCCATGCTGCCCTTTCTTAAATTTTTGTGACCAAACTCTTGGGATGCCATTTCCCAGAAATGGCTATTTGGAAAATTATCATGGCATTTTCTCTTCTTTTCTTCAATCTAGTTGAAATATTCTCTTTCCCAATGCTCTCTCCTCCCCCCCACCTCTCTGTTCCTCCAAATTGGCAGTGATACATCTTACCTCTTGCTAGGATCAGGAAAGAACTTGGAAATCACTCGATACTCCTCTCTTTCCTGCTTCTCACGGAGCCTTTTACCTGGAGCTGAGATCTGGAAAGCACAACTTGAGAGCTTGGGGGGGGGGAGGGAGAGGGAGGGAGGGAAATCGAGAGGGAGGGAGGGAGGGAGGGAGAGAGTGCGTGCTCGTTCGTGTGCACACAGTACATGTGTGTGAATGCATGTGTGTTTGGTGATGGGAAGCTACTAGAAGAAGCACTGGAAGAAACTTCCCCAAACTGCCTCAGCACTATAAGGAAGATTATTATTTTTTTAACTTTGGAGATTATATTGCTCCGACATTAGAGAAGCTGGTTCAACATGTGACCCAATTAATTGCCTAGCATGTACTCAGAGGAAAAACTTCACCCCCGCATTAGAAGAGAGTGTGGGATGGGAGAGCAAAAAGGTCTTACCAGAGTTGGAAAGAAGGAAGGAACAAGAAAGGAGTAAGGGGAAGGAAGGAAGGTCCAAGTTCAAGAAGAAGGCTCCTGGTAGGAGCCAATATTCCCCTTCCTTCTTTCCCTTGCTCCCACTGTGTTGCAGCCCACAGGGTTTGTCACAGTATTCTCAATAAACAATCTCTCCTTTCCTCAGGCCAATTAAATAAGCACTATAATAAAGGCACAGGCAAAGTGCTGTGGCAGCCCTGGGTAAGGGCTATTAAACCTAATGGCTGCCATTTATTGAAGAGCCTCCCATGTGCCAGGGACTGTGCTAAGCTCTTTACATTCACGACTTTTATTTAATCCCTATGGTCTCATAAGTTGGATTCTGTTATCATCTTCATTTCACAGATGCAGAAATGGAGACTTAATGTCAATAACTTTCTAGATCACTGGCTGTTTTGTGACAGGGTGGAGAGCTGAGCCAGGTCCACTGGTGGGAGACACAAGGTCAGTTTGAAAAGAGGTGAGGTTTCAGTCAGGTCTGATAAACACAGAATTTAGGGGCTGGGAAGTTGGCTCAGTGGTAGAGCGCTTGCCTCGCATGCATGAGGGCCTGGGTTCGATTTCTCAGCATCATATAAGCAGAAAAAAGCCGGAAGTGGCACTGTGGCTCAAGTGGTAGGGCACTAGCCTTGAGCAGAAGAGCTGAGGAGCCCAGGCCCAGAGTTCAGCCCCTACGGGTGTTCAGGGGACTAAATGTGTCTCCCAAATCTCTCCATTACAGTGACTTCTAAAATACAGATTCCCAGGGCCTTTTCCATGTCAACTTTCTCAGAAAGTGGGACCTGGAACCCTGAATTCTAATTTCCTGGGGGTTCTGAGGCAGGACATCCATGTGCATCTGGGAAAGTGTAGGTGAGCATGTGGAATATTATGGGATGGGGAAGATGGGGCCAGAGGAGGAGGAAGTATTTGAAGGAATGTGGCACTCAACACCCTCCTATTATTATATGGCCCCCAAACTTTTTTAAAACCTTTCAATTTTTAAATTGATGTATATAGTGATTATATATATAGTATATATATATAAAGTACAGTGTGACACTTTAGCATCTGCATGTATGTGTACCAATCTTATTAGAATAATCTACATGCCTGTCATCTAAGATCCATATCATTTCTTTGTAGTGGGAACAGTAAAAATCCTCTTTACGAGGAGGGAAGGGTTGGTGGGGGAAAGACAAAGGAGGAGGTAACAATGCTCGATGGGAAATGTATTCATTACCTTACTCATGTTACTATAACCTCTGTACAATATTCCTCTTCACTAGCTATTTTGAAATATTCATTTAATTGTTAGCCATAATTACCTTTCTGTGCAATATAGAGCACTGTCCAGCGCACCCCGGCACCTATCTGCTCTCCATTCCTCCCTTCCCCACACCCTTCCCATGCTCTGGTAACCGCTATTCTTGCCTCTTCTCCTCCCCCTTGGCTTTTGGAGTCAGAATATATAACCTAGGCTGGTCCCAAAGTCCATTCACCTGCTCTAGTCACCTGTGTATGTGGTGGCCGACATCTGGGATTACAGGTGTAGGCCACCACATCTGGCTCATAGTCAGTTGACATCACTTTTGAGCTTCCTTCCACATATAAATGAGAACATTGCATATTTCTCTTTCTGTATCTGGCTTATTCCACTTAACAACACGTCTTCCGGTTTCAACCATGTTGGCATAACTGACAGCCTTTATGCTTTTTTAAAAAGTGGCTGATTTGCACAACTATGTTTATTGCAGCATTATTTACCATAGCTAAGATATGGAACCAGCCCAGATGCCCCTCAGTAGATGAATGGATCAAGAAAATGCGGTATATATACACAATGGAATTCTATGCCTCCATCAGAAAGAATGACATTGCCCCATTTGTTAGGAAATGGAAAAACTTGGAAAAAATTATATTAAGTGAAGTAAGCCAAGCCCAAAGAAACATAGATCCCATGGTTTCCCTTATTTGCAATATCTAGTATATGTATGAGTCAAGCGGAAAAGGTCAGATAATGTGATGTTAGGAAAATGAACCCTTAGATATGTATTTTAATGTTTTTTTCCTTTCATGCATTTGTTTCTAACGCATTTATAAGATTATCTCTTTGTAGCTTTGTATGTCCCTCCCCCACAGTATAACCCCTGCTTTCACTATATTTGATGTCAGTATAACTTGTAGAGGAGATGGGGAAAAACAAGTCGTTTAAAGACACAGGCGGACCTGTTGCAACAATGAGAAGTACAAGTTGTCATGTCGAAAACGAGCTTTACAACGTCGGTGCGGGGGTGGGGAAGGTTGGGTGGGGGGGAGGCTGGGAAGGGATGTGAAGGGTAAACAAAGGAGTAGGCTGCAATGCTTGATAAGAAATGTACGCATTAACCTGCCCATGTAATTGTAACCCCTCTGTACAGCATGTTCACAAAAAAAAAAAAAAAAAAGTGGCTGATTTGGGCTGGGAAGGTGGCTCAGTGGTAGAGCGCTTGCCTTGCATGCATGAGGCCCTGGGTTCGATTCCTCAGCACCACATAAGCAAAAAGAAAAAAGCAGGAAGTGGTGCTGTGGCTCAAGTGGTAGAGCGCTAGCCTTGAGCTGAAGAGCTGAGGGACAGTGCCTAGGCCCAGAGTTCAGGACCCATGACCAGACTCCCCCCCCAAAAAAAGTGGCTGATTAGTAGTCTATATTGTGTGACTTTATCCATCATAAACTTTTTTTGCATTTAAAAATTGTATTTTCTTGTAAAGATGCTGTACAGAGGGGTTACAGTTACATCAGTAAGGTAATGAGTACATTTCTTGTGGAGCAATTTTACCCCCTTCTTTGTTTTTCTCCTACTATCCCTTCCCTTCTCTATCTCCCCTACTCCCCCGACCCCCCCCTCCCAGTTGTAATGTTCATTTCCAACACAGTGTCTTGTGTCATTGTCGCAATGGGTCATCCTGTGTCCTTGTTTCAGCATTTTGTTATTCCTCTTCCCCTCTCCAAATTAGATAAATGTATATACAAGATGCAGGGTACCAAAATTAAATACAGTGACAACAGGGTTATACCATGGGAGGAAGAACATTCAAAAGAAACCAACAAAAAAAGGAACACTTCACAAATTTGCGTGTTATCCTTGCGCAGGGACCATGCTAATCTTCTCTGTATTGCTCCAATTTTAGTATATGTGCTGCGGAAGAGAGCACCATCATAAACTTTTAAAATGTACTTTTCATTACATCTAAAATATAAATTTGGGACATTCAAAAGTGCAACTGTTAATGTGCCTGAGGGGAATATTCACAGTTTAAAAAAATATATAAACAAAGGCAGTGGCATTGGTAGAGCTTGTCATAAATGTTTGGCAGTATTCTTTCCCTAATTAACTCTTAAGCTAATTATTCTAGGACATGGAAAGCCACTAAAAAGTTTGAGGAGAAACCAAGGTGTGATGCGATCTTTGATTTAGGAAGGACATTTTAGTGGTAGAGAAAGAATGGGGATATTGGAGGCCTTTAGGCCAGTTAGGAAATCCAACTATTCCACGGAACATATGAAGTTCCTCAAGTAGATCTGGGACCATGATGAGCAAATAAGTTTTATTCAATTTCATCCAACAAAACATTTCTTTAATATATTTTCTAGATTGGAAGCTGGACCAGGTTTTAGGGATCCTAAGATGAAACAAGATATTGTCCCTATTCTTATTGTCCCCATACTCTACCAAGACTCATTAAAATAATTAAATTGAGAATGAAGGGATTTAGTAGATGGGACAGTGTTACCAACTGCATTGTACTTCCCTGCTCCCATTCATGCTGAAACTCTAACCCTCCGTGTGACGGTATTTGGAGATAGGCCTTTAAGAAGGTAATTAAGTTTAAATGAAGTCATAAAGCAGGAACTGCAATCCAACAGGACTGGGTCCTCATATGAGAAGGAAGAGACATAGAGCTCTGTCTCTCTGTTTGTGTGCACAGAGGAAAGGCCATCTGAGGACATTGTGAGAAGGTACTATGTGCAGGCCAGGAAGAGAGGCCTGGACAGAAACCAATGCTTAGTGGCACCTTGAACTGTGAGAAAGCAGCTGTCCTGTGATATTTTGTTTTGGTAGCACAAGCGGACTGATACTGGCAGATCTTAAATTTTAGCTTATAGGATAACACAGGATGATTCCATTAGATCATTGATTATGTGAATCTGGAATCCAAAAGAGAGATAGTTTGGGTTTGTATGAACTGTTTATCCTAAAGACATAGGGGGCTGGGTATGGTAGCTCAAATTTGTAATCCCAGCTATTCAGGAGAAGGAGATTGAGAAGGTCAGGATGGGAGAATGGCTCTGGTTTGTTTTTGTTTTTAACCAGATGATGGAGAAGAAATTATATAATATCTGGATTAAATTTCCATAGTGAAGTGAAAATATTTCTTTCAAAAGTTATAGAGTGCTTGCCTTGTATTCATGAGGCCCCGGGTTGGATTCCTCAGAAAAAGCTGGAAGTGGTGCTATGGCTCCAGTGGTAGAGCGCTCGCCTTGAGCTGAAGAGCTAAGGGACAGTGCCCAAGCCCAGAGTTCAGTCCCCACAACTGACCAAAAACAAAAAGTTACAGAGATGTGCCAGGCGCCAGTGGCTCACATCTGTAATCCTAGCTACTCAGGGGGCTATGCACGGTAGCTTGAAGCCAGCCCTAGCAGAAAAATCCATAAGACTCTTATCACTAATTAACCAGCAAGAACAGAAAAACAAAACAAAACAAAAACCAACCACCCAGAAGTAGAGATATGATTCAAATGGCAGAGTATCAGTCTTGAACAAAAAACCAAGTAAGAGAGCAGGACCTGAGTTCAAGCCCAAGTACCTGCATAAATACATACAAAATAGTTATAGAAAGAACAATCACGTCTTCTCCTCTTCCTCCTCCTCTTCTCTCCTCCTCCTCCTCCTCCTCTTCTCCTTTCCTCCTCCTCCTCCTCCTCCTCCTTCACCTCCTCCTCTTCCTCCTCCCCCTCCTCCTCCTCCTCCTTCTTTTCCAGTCCTGGGGCATGAGCTGAGGGGCTTGAGTACTGTTTCTGAGCTTCTTTTGCTCAAGGCTAACACTCTACCACTTGAGCCACAGCGCTCCTTCTGGCTTTTTCGGTTTATGTGGTACTGAGGAATTGAATCCAGGGCTTCAGGCATGCTATGCAAGCACTCTACCACTAAGCCACATTCCCAGCCCCAACAGTCACATTTTATATCTTAAATTTTAAGCTTTTGTAAACTATAAGAACAGTTCAAAGCAAGCTATATTGATTGAAAATCACAGTGTGCATTGTAAAGCACCAAAAGGGGAATGAATTCCTGGAAATGGAAACAAGAAGTTTTTGTTGTTGTTTTTCTTTTCTTTTTGTCTTGTTTGTTCATTTATCTGTCTCTGGGGGGGGGGGGGAAGGGGGGTGCAGGGGGCCCAGAAATGGAGGGACAAAGGCTGAACAAATGCCGCAGTGGTACTCACTAGATACTATGTCGGAAAAGAAACATACAACTTGTGGGTGGGATAGGAGGGAAAAACTGGGAAAGGTGAAGGAAGGGGTGACATAGTCCAAAAAGAAATGTAGCTGGAGGCCAGTGGCTCACACCTATAATCCTAGCTACTCAGGAGGCTGAGATCTGAGGATCAAGAGTCAAAGCCAGCCCAAGCAGGAATGTCTGTGAGACTCTTATCTCCAATTAATAACCCCTCTCCACCCCCGCCCCAAAGCCAGAAGTGGAGCTGTGGCTCAAGTAGCAGAGTGCTAGCTTTGAGTTATAAAAAAAAAAAAAAAAAAACACCCAAAATTCAGGGACAGTGCCCAGGCCTCAAGTTCATGGTCCAGGACAGGAACCGAAAAAAAAAAAAAGGTACTCATTACCTTACTTATAAAACAGTAACCCCTCTGTACATCACCTTCATAATAACAATAAAAATATTTAATTAAGAAAAGCACGAAAAAGGGGAATTAGTGGAGAGATCATAGCATTTGAGCAGATTCCACAAACTAATAACTCATGGCCGTGGAGCTGCCATTTCAAAAAAGAATTGAGCATTGCACTGGATTTTAAAAATGAGGGTGTGACACGTGTGAATCAGTGATACATGGCTGCTGCCTGCAGTACTATTTGTGATATATTTATGGCTCACTGACACCTCTCTGATGGGGTTAAGTATTTACATGCAGTTAGACTTCCCCTCCATCTGCAGGCTTCAGCAACCTACTAGGAGTTTTGGGTAAAAGAGACCAACCCCCTCCAGGTCCTGGGTATGGCCAAATGGTCTTTACTTTCCTGTATTAGGCTTCCCTCTGAGACTTTATAGCAGCCTGACCTCCTGCCTCTGGGTTGGTGAATCTCCTGCTTCTGTACCACATACAAAGGGCAAGTACATTCATTATTATTATATTATTATACAATGTATAATATATAATAGCGATTATGCTGTCAGCAGCCACAGTCTCTGACCACAGATCAGAGGCTGGAGTGACATAAATCCACCCATGAAGTCACTGGTGCAGCTACAGGAAAGTGAGAAGATTCAGGTCCCTCTATTGCTGGTTTCTGAGTAAAGAGTTTCTTCCACAGGAACTTTGTGGGGGTGAATTGGAAGGCACTGGGAAGATCTAGAACAGTAGCAAGTCTTGGGTGTGATGCAAAGTTTCAGTTACCTCCTCTGAGCCATGGAATGGTTATAGCTCTTTTTTTTTTTTATTTTTATTTATTGCCATGACTGAGACAGGACAGTAGTGACCCAAGGGCTCGGAATAGACTAAAGAGCACTCTTCAGCTTCTTGGATCAGATTCTTTATTGAAAACCTGGCTGGTGGGTTTCCCTTTCTATTTTCCCAGCGTATACTTTGTGTAGGCTTTATCCAAGCCCCCTGCCAGGCACCCGGTCAGAGAATCAATCGCTGCCTGCCTGGGATTGAAATGGCCCCTCTATAGGGTCAGGAGGGGGCTCTCTGGTTCCTTTATGCAGAGGGCTGTGTGCTAAGCTGTTGAAGTGTTCGAGCCAGTATTTGCCAATAATTGCAGGGTAGCCTTGAACTTATATCAGGCACTTAGTAGGACTGTCATCCTTGAATAAAAGGAGTCCTTGAATAAATGCGGAATGAATAGAGGCACTGAATGCACTTGATCTCACCCTACAGAAGGCACAGAAGTGAGGAGCCAGTTTCCTGTTGGAAGCAGGTAAAGCCATCCTCCCAAATCCAGACTGAAATAGCCCCCACCCCACACACCTATTCCTTTACTGCACTTCAAATCCAGAACTCACTGAGTTTACTTATTACGAACAGGCTTAGCTGAGTTCCAAACGAAGGCCTCTACCCCTCTTTTACTGCTCCCTTTGCCCCCACCCCATCTCACACTTCCTTCCCTTGAACCAAACGCCCCAGGAAACCCACTGGATAAAAAGAAAGAAAGAAAAGAAAAAGCTCTTGAGAGTAGGAATAACTAACCAGAATGTCATCTGAGCACCTTTTGTGGGGCCAGGGTAATGAGAATTATTCAAATGCAATCATAAAAATGAGGCCAGGCAGGCAGGAATGAGGCGGAGGGAGAGTGATGATGGAGGACCGATTCTTGCTAGTTTTTAAGTGTCATAATTCCTCTCCCGCACTCCCGAGGGTGCTCTCCTGAGGTCCCCAGGAAGACTTCACCTCATCTCGGTCCCCTCTGCGCCACCAGATGTCTTGGAACTTGGCCCGGGTGTTTAAGGAGGACCTGGCCTGGGGTGGTGGGTGGGGGTGCTACTCCGGAGTCTGCAAAGTCGGCTGGACTTCCCTCATTGCCCCAGCCCCAACCTCCCATCCGAGGCTCCCTTCGATCTGGAGGCTTCTTCCCCTGCACCAGGCAGGCAGGCAGGCTCCCCACCGGCAGGAGCAGGCCGCCACCCGACTTCTGAGCCGATCCTCCAGTAGAGGGAGACACTCCAGCGGCTCCGCGCCTGGGAAGCGACTGGGGCCGGGAGTGGGTGGGGGTGATGGGGGGGAAGGGGGAGTGGGGAGAGGGGAGGTGTGTGCAGGGGGGGGGTCCGGGGGGCGGGTCCCTGTGCCGCTGACGTCCCGAGCAGTGCTGGGAAGTATAGGCTGTGTTGTCACGCCGGTGTCAGTCTGATGAAGATTGGCATCAGGTAAGCTGTCATTCATTTCCATGTCAGAGACGCTTTTGCAAGCGGCGGCGGCGGCGGCG